CAGCCAGTCTTCAGTGACCTCGGAGTCATCCCTTCAACTTTTTAATTGAAACTGGCTGGTCCTCAGTGAGGTTCTGGCTTCACTCTGGTCCCCCGGCCTTGGCGTTTCAGCCGCAGGACCGAACCCCCTTCGTCATCTCATCGATGTGGCAGCTGGTCTGCTTTTCTGAACTCTGTCGTGTGGGATGTGAAGTGCACCCTTCGTTTTATTATTATTTTATTTATTTTATTAAAACATTTCTATGCCGCCCCATTCGCCGAAGCCTCTTCTGCAGCACGCTGTCCAACTTGCAGGGCATCCAGAGCGCTCGGCCGGTCAGGGGCATCCTCTTCATCTGCAGAGCCACCTGTGTCTCCATCAAGCAGGCCTCACACCCCTTACGACACCCCAGTGGGGTAGCCAGGTGTCAATGAGGGGAGAATCTCAACCTGGAATGTCTTGGATCTCAGCTTCTTTTCTCAAGAGCTTTACTGCCCCAGCTTCTGCAGCACTGTAAACCAAGCAGTTCCCTGCTCCTCAGCCCAGGTTGGCTGGGGATGATGGGAATTACAGCCCTGCACATGTGGATGGCTTCCAGCTGGGAAAACTGCAATATTCGTAAACAATCAGAACCAGCCTTTTGGGTGCAAACCTATGCCAAGTTAGCCAGAAAAAAGTCCTATAAATTCTCATATTCCCCTTCCAGCTATGCTAACCGTTTTTACTCCCACATTGACTTAAAAGCCTCAGAGAAAGGTTGCAATGTGCATACCAGCCATCCAGCACTTATTTTTTATATAGCTGTTCCTAAAATAGGATTAAAAACCTCCCCCAAGGGAAAAACGCACATGAATGGTAGCTCTTAACTCCCTCTACCACGCTTTCTGGTCAAGGAAGCTTATTGCCACAAGTGTACAAATGTTCCTTCTTTGTTGCTCGAGATCTGGATGTCTTGAGTCGGCTGTAAGAATATGTCACTTTCCCAAAATTGGAACCACAATATGACATTAGCTGGGAAAATGCAATCCTTACTTCCGCTGCCTGTTTGGCCTACCTAATAGCATTTGTGTAGTGCAAATCATATTCAAATACTCAGGTGTTAGGGGAATTTTCCTTAAAGCTGTTTCCCGATTAAAGAAGTCTTGGAAGCAATCTTATGCTTCCTATTTCGGTATAAAAATGCCTCAGGTGGCATCCTGAGCTGGTCCACTGTCCTGGCATCTTAATTGATGAATTATTGAATTTAAGTTTGTCTGCCTTTGCGTACAGGTAAAAAAAGCCATCGACCTGATGAAATATGCTTCTGAAGAGAGAAGCAAACTGCATCGTGGTGTTTTCCGTTGATGTGTGCATGGAATGTGCTTTTGCCACCACTGCCGTGCTAGCGAAATCAATTGCTCAAAATCAATCAATCAATCAGTCTGCCTGCCTGCAATCTATTGCTCTTAAAGCAGCTGGAGCACATGGGCATCACATGTTGTGAAGGCCCAGGATCGTGCTTCCTTCTCACTGGCTCAGGACGTGAAGCGCTTCCACTGCATATGGTAGTCGGAGGTACTACAGGCAGTGGTGTAGAGATGAACCATGAGTCTCCACAGCCACAGCCCACCAAGGAGCGTTCTAAATAGTGGACAATTGTGTGGATCCATATTGACAAAGTCGTTCTAGACGTTTCCATCTGCTGGACCCTTAATTGCCCATGTAAGACCTAGCCCAGCATACTAAAAAGTAGAGCCATCACCCTGCTGTCAAACATTTGTAGTCGAGGCTCTGGTTTTCCCAGTTGCAATGTATGGCTGTGAAAGCTGGACCATAAGGAAGGCTGAGCGCTGAAGGATTGAGGCCTTTGAATTGTGGTGCTGGAGGAGACTCCTGCGAGTCCCTTGGACCGCAAGGCGATCAAACCGGTCAGTCCTAGAGGAGATCAGCCCTGACTGCTATTTAGAAGGCCAGATGCTGAAGATGAAGCTCAAATACTTTGGCCACCCGATGGGAAGGAAGGACTCCCTGGAGAAGAGCCTGATGCTGGGAACGATTGAGGGCAAAAGAAGGAGGGGTGGCAGAGGTTGAGGTGGCTGGATGGGGTCACTGGGGAGGTGGGTGTGGGGTTGGGCTCCTCCCAGAGATGGTGGAGGACAGGAGAGGCTAGAGGAATGTTGTCCATGGGCTTGTGATATGTTGGGCATGACTTTGCAACTAAACAACAAACAACAAGACCTAGCCACCCAAAAATACTTTATATTATGAAGGCATAATATTTTCTTGTTGGGAAAAGCCTTTCTCCTCTCAATCTCACTACTTAGAGCTGAGAGCAATGGGGATCCCAATGCGGATGGCAGTTGATGTCCATGCGCTGTGGCTAAAGAAGTCCAGGGGCTTCGGCCCTGCGTGTTTCAGCTCCACTACACCACTGATGAATGCATAGGAAAGACGTTGATGGAAATAAAGGAATCATCAGAACCAAGCTTTGCACTTGCCCGGCATGATCATGGAGTACATCGGTCTGCCTCTTGGAGAGATGAACACCTCCGAGAGGAAGTTGCTTGCAATCCCGAAATTCTCGTGCAGCTTCCATAGACCTGCTTCCCCCCAGAGAGGTTGGGCCACAGTCCACCCCATGTAGAGTGCCCTCTAGCGCAATCCCAAACTAGCTCAGTTTCTTTAAAAACTGGAGGGCTGTTCCTGATGCTACGTATCTATAGCGAAATGCAGAGCACGTTCCTTCAACATTTAAATGAAAAGGTCAGTTTTGTGCCCCGCTTTTCATTTCATTTCTGCAACATGATGAAGAAAGACATTCCTCTCCACGGTGCTGGCTGAGTTATCCATCATTAATGAATCTGTTTCAATAATGCATTGCTCATTAAAAATGGACAAGTATATTATTTCCTTAAAAAAAGAGAGAAATCCTGACGGTGACCCATATGTGTCAGGCAGCCCAATGGATGCTTGCTAAAAGGGAAAGTGCCCCATAATAAATAATGAAGCTAAGTGGTGGTGGGCTCATAATTAATGCATGGCTGGGACAGAACGGGAGAATGATCGGAACTGTCACCAAGGCAGGTTCCTCCCTTCGCGCGCACAAAGCTGTTTCTTGCAGCACATTCTTTATGGATCAGAATGATTTACAGAAGCACAGGTGTTCAGACGGAATCTCTGAAATTGCTCAGAGCGGTTTGTTGAATCCAGTCTAGTATTTACTTCGAGGAACTCTCCTTAGGAGTATGTTTGGGCCCCATCCTTCCAGGAGGGGCCTTCTGGAAATGTGCGTGCCTTCTCACTGCAGGGCGATCCTCTAACTGGGCCTCCCTCCTCTGCTGACGTCCTTTCATGGGGTCCAGAGTTGTGCCCACTTTGTCTTTCTCTGGGAAGCTCCCCTGTTCCACGCCCCCACCCTTCCCGCAACTGTGCACCTTAGTTATTCGCAGAAGCTGCCGGAGCACCTGGGGAGTCTGGCCTTGAGAGAAGCACCTCGGTTTCTCTCATCGCATGTCTGGAACCGGTCCATATTCCTGCTCTTTCTCCTCCTCCTCCTTCTGTGAAGTCCAGGCAGCATGCCCTGAGAATGGGTGCCAAGAGCAACTCTCCTTCTCACTCCCAGCCGCAGGGGACTGTGAGTGAGCAAACCGCATTGAGAGAAGGGGCACCTGGTCACAGGCAGCAAGATCGGGTTGGGGAGACATGCGAATGGGTGTTTAATAAATAGGCTCCCATCCCCATCTGGAGAGGCACCTTAGGGTGTGGGGGTCCATGTTCAGGGCGGAGATGGAGAACCTGGGGCTCTCCAAGCGGCATGAGAAGAGTCCTGGTGGTGGATCAGATCGAGGTCCAGCTGGGCCAGTGCCCCATTCACACAGTGGTCAACCGGCTGCCCGCAGGAACTCACGAAACAGGATGCGAGCACCACGGTGCCCTCCCACCCGTGTCCCCCAGCAAGTGGTGTACAGAAGCATCCAGCCGCTGACACTGGAGGCAGCATCCAGCCTCCCAGAATGGCATCTGTCGGTGGCCCTTCCGTCCGCGAATGTGACCATCACCACTTCCTGCAAAATGCAGTGGCTGCACATCCGATCACAGGGCTGGTGGGCTGGTTATGGCAGTCATAATGAACCGCTGTTGGAGGGCAACAGCCCCCTCCTGTCCAAGACCCCCACGACTCGTGCATCTGGGGCCGGAGGCAGCATGTGCCCATCAGGAATGGCAGCCAGGGGTATCTTTCTCCCCCATGAATTTGCCCCAACCCCCCTTAACACCGCCCAGACCCACTACACTTCAGAGAAGGGAATGCCATGATGCAATTCTATGTTGCGTGACGATGTCCTTCCTTTGAGCTATGCTGACGCTCCCACTGATCAGCTCCATGGGATGACCCTTCTGAGTTCTAGCGTCAGGGGAGAGGGAGAAAAACAACCCAGTAACTTTTGGAGGGCCTCGGGTTGACTATTTGTGGGTGAGAAGCTCCTGGGCGGAGCTGGCGTTCACCCAGGTCCTCACCACTGAATTATGGCCCTTCTGAAAGTCTGACAATCGGGGGGGGGGGGGGACATGACTCAGTGGCATTGTCCCTTCTTGGCTTGTGTAAAGTCTCAGGTGGAATGCCAGGCACCTGCGGTTAGAGCACCTCCTTCGGCTCCTGCCCAACTCTTTCAGCGTCTCCTTCCTCTTGCCCTCAAAAAAGGCCTCTCCAGAAAGGCTGGGCTCTCCCCGTGGTGAAAAACCCATGGCACCTTTGGCCATGGACGAATGCTCCCGTGACGGAGCACCCCCATGTTGAAATGGGAGCCTAGCCTGAAAGGGCAGCCTGCGCCCCAGGAGGGCTGGGTTTGGCGCCCAGCCCTGGAGTTCCATATCCCTGGGCTAAAGGGAAAAGCCCTACTGTTACCTACTGAACCGGGGAAAGTTATGTTTCAGTGAAGATGCATCGACTTCCAGAAACAATTTCAGACACCATGGAGGATCAAGCACCAGTTTATTGAGTTTATACATCTTGGTCAAATAAGTCTTTGCAAGCTTCATGCGGGTTACATGCTTGTCCCGGCGGCTTCCTCGGGGATGGCGGGCAGGGGCTTCGGTTCCACCCGCTGCGCCTGTCCTAAGGAGCTTGGTTCCTTGGCTGCAGCACTGCTGGTTTTATCAGGGGTCCTGCAAGCAGAAAGAGGCCGTCACTCCACGGGATGGATCAAGCCCCCTTAACTTTACGCAAACCAACAGGGAGGTGTGTGTGCGCCCGCCCGTCCACCCGCGCGTTCAGCATGGGACTGCATCATGCAATACGTTGGTTTGTAAAGTACCCGGCTGAGCAGCTGCAGGGGTAATTCGTTGGCCTGATCCTGCTTCCAAAGTCCACTGTAATCAACTCTGCAAGTGTAGGCCTTTTAAATAAATTTGGTTTTGCTCACTCTTGGACCTGGTAGTTTCCAGAACTGGTGAACCCTGGAGGCACCGAAGATGAAGAAAAATGAATTGCAGCTGAACAGCAAGGAATGGCAATTCTTTTCCTTCCCCATTTAATTGTGCTGGAGTCGTGTTGCAATTAGGGGACGGAGGTTGACCTGCTCAGCTGAAGCATGGCACCCTAAACCATCTTCCCTGCCCTGGGGCCCTCTAGATCTCTCTGACTACAATTCCCGTAATCCCTAGCTAGCATGGCCACTTGAAGCGGGAAAAAGAAGAAGGAAGACCACTTGGATGCCTGACACTCAGAGGTGCTTCTGGTGAGCCATTGTTGGAACTCAGGAACTGTGTGTTTGAAATAAATATGTGGCTGTGAGCCAGATGTCAGGTTTTGGCTCATGTTTTTGTCTGTTGCAGTACACTAATGTGGGGGATTTTCCAGCCAAAAAGCAGGGTGGTGTTCTTGTATCTTGGAATTTGCTTAGCCCTGTTCGTAGGCAGCCCCAAACTGGGTCCTTGCCTCCACTGCACGGTTCCGAGGGACACGGTGTGCGTGTGTGTGGGGGGGGGGGCAAAGCTCCTCCTTTCTCTTGCAGAGTTTCAGCCCCACAACAACACAGCTTGCGGCTCCACCCAATTTGCATGTATGCAAAATGACATCTTGGCCATTGACTCCCCCAAAAGCAGACAACAGACGCTTGCAAATGCACATCACAGTCAGAGCTGCGCCATCTGTCAAGAGTGGGATAGAGATATTGTGCCAGTGCCCAGAAAGTCTGGCTGGTCTGCCATGAAGACAGACCTTGGGATTCTGAAAAACCAGAGATGGGCAGATGTGCTGATTCGACCTCATTTGCAAAGACCTTTCCAATGGCACTTCCAACTGTTAAACAGAGAGGAGGGGAGTTGTATGTTTGTAGCTTGTTTTTCACACATTTTCACACATCGCTCAGACATTTTTAAGTCTAGGTTCAGCAGGTAGAATTTGTTTCAGGAAGCCTACAAGGAAGAAGCAAAGGCTGAGATGTGGGCTAGAAAATAGCTAATTTAGACTGTCATTTTCTCTGAGGAGTGTGGAACCTTTTCCTTACAGAGGACAATCTTTTGGCTATGAACTGCCTGCTAAATATATCTGCTAAAAAGCCATTTTCCGTTTGAGGGCTGCCCAGTTCAAGTCTGGTGTCAAGCCAAAGAGCAAGAGCTGCAAGGACCCCGGAGAAGCCCTTCCAGAATTTGCTGATGGCTCCGGCAACCGTGCACCTGGCAATGCTGAACTCTCTTTGCATCCTACTAAGTTCCACATTTGCCTTATACTTACAAAGCGAAAATGCTATGCAAATCGATTCCTTTTTTGCTGATGTGTTTCCTCTTGGGGGTTGAAGCATAAGCGGCTGCCCTGACCTACACTCTAATGATTAACCCAGATGGTGATCCGTTATTGACATCTTTACAGAGGCAAGCATTGATCTGCTTGTATTGAAACAAGGAGCAGGCAGGGAAGGGGAAACCTACCCTTCTTTTTACGATGGTTTCTAGGCCATCTTTAAAGGAGGACTTTACAGATCAGTGGTTGGCCCTATTTTTCTTCTCCCAAAGGCGAGTGCATGTGGGTGGGTGCAGCCAAGAAGCGAAATGGAGCTGACCTTTCCCCATGCTGATTCCTCTGGGCACCGACCTGCACCTCATCCAAAGTGGTCCTGCGCTGCCAAAGAGAAATCGGAGCAGCACCCAACTTAGGGAATCGACAGGTGGCGTTTGGGTGATGTGCAGTTGGGAAAAGAGGCAACCGCCTCCCCATGTGCCACAGCTCTGTCCCGTCCTCTCCTGCGCCCTCAAAGCAAAGCACAGCGAGAGAAGCAAGCTCCAATCCTCCACGCAGTGCGTAGCCCAGCTCCGATGCTGCTAATTTGACCTTTGAGCAAGCGAACAAACCGCAGCCCTTCTCCAGCGATGGATGCTGCTGCATTTGGGGCTTCCGAGGGAGACTCAGGTGGCTCGTTTGCAGGGCTTGCTTCCCGGGGGTCTGACGTGCCCCAGAGGTGGCTCACCAGCTCCTCCCCACTCGGTCCTCCCGCAGGCATCCGGGATGCTGCAGAAGCACGGAGGTTTCCCCACCCGGCAGCAACACCTGGGAGCGGAGACAGGGCAGCTCTCGTGAGCCCAGCCTAGGGGGCTGAAGGGCTGTGTGCCCCCACTGCTCCAGCCAGCTGCAAGGGCTCACTGCCCACGGGTGCCACCGGGTCCACGTGGCCGTCAGATGGAGTGGAAGAGACGGCAGGGCCTGGCAGGGACTTCAGCTGGCATCTGAGCCACGCTTTGCTTGGCCTTCCCCGGAGTTCACCTCCTGGCGTGCACGGCCCCCTGGACCCCAAATGGAGGCGAGGCTGCCAGGGCGCTGCCTGCCTGAGCCCTGACCCAGGCGTGAGCGGCGGTGCCCGGCCGCAGGGACGCCGACGGCAGCGGCCATGGGCTGCGATTGCTCTGATCCACCTGGCACGGGGGCACGGGGAGCCTGCCGTTCTTGCCCAGCAGCTTGCTGGCTGTGGGGCTCAGCCCCGCGGGTCACCTCACCCACGTTCAGCTGATTCAGCAACCCACCGTCAGGGAAGCAACCCCTGCAGCAGGCCACGGCTTGCTGGTCACGATGAAGCCCCCCCGATGGGCTCATCCCGGGCTGCAGGACACGACCCCCTGTGCCTACGAGCCACGGGGGATTCTCGAGTCATGCGAATCCAGGCAAGGCATGAGAGACGCGCACAGAGCTGACCCGCAGCATTGCTTTGATCAGCCGGGGAGACGCAGAGCATGGATGCGCAGCGCTTCTCGTGTGCAGGGCCCTCGGGGGCGAAGTCCCAAGGGCCGCAGGCTTGTAACTGGCAGAGCCAGGGCCAAGCTGGACTGCCCACCCGCTTCTCTGCCCCCTTTTCTCTCTCCCTCCCCGTCTCTCTCTCTGCCAACCCCTTTCTCCGCCTCTGCTGCCACTTTGATCTTTCTTCCCAATCTCTATTCCTTCTCTGTTTGATGAACTGCCCAGGGAGGTGGGGGTCACTTTTGCCAGACCTTTGAACCCCCAGAGCGCTTCTGCAGCCAGCCACAGTTGCTCACCCCTGCTGCAGACAGTGGCCAGGATCCAGCAACGCTGAGCCCACTTAAAACCCTCCCTGTGGATGGCCTGGACAGCATTCACCTCTGTTTTGGGGTGGAGCCTTTAAAATACTCCCATAGGGTTCTTTCCAAAACAAAACATGATGCTTGGGCAGCTTCTTATGGGTACAAATGAAGATCATTTGAGCCAGATCTGCTTTGTAGATGTCGGGGGGGGGGGGGCGATGTTCAGTTCCTAAGAGCCATGGGAAGAGATTTTTGGTTGCGTGGGCCTTTGAGCCAATGTACCCAACCCTAAGCAGTGAATGCGTCTCTTACAGCATGAACACTCAAATGCATGGTGCATGAAATGGACAGCCAGGCGTGCTCGGTATTCCTCTCTAGCAGCGGCTTTTTGTGAGGTATGGAAGGGCCAATTGTCCATTCATTTTGCTATTGGCCAAGGGGGAGACCAGAACCCCTGGATTTGGCCTGTCTCCGGGGACCAGGTGCCGGGCTCCTTATGAGAAACAGGCCTTTCCCCTGTCCTACTGGTGAGTTTCCTGTAGAAAAGCGAAGCGATTCGGCCACCTTGGAGGCTGCTTCGCAGTCGGACATTTCACCCCATTGGCCCCGTTCTTGCTCTTTCTGCTCCATGCCCAGAATCACGGTCACCTTGTTTTTCTCTAAGGCAGAGAAAATCATTGCAATGTGCAGATGTCTTCCACATTGGTGTATTTCGTTGCCCTTGTCTGCTGCCCTACGCTGGGCTGAGTGCAGGAGATTCGCTTGTGATTTACCCCAGGTAATATGCGGGTCATCATTTGGCCTCCTTCCAAGCAGCTCCAAAGCAACTTTGAAGTTTGCAGCAGGCCCACCCTGTGAGGTAACTCAGATTGCAAAGTGCACGTCCTCAAAAGTGGCATGTGGGTTGGATGTGGGTTGCTGTTGAAACATGGTTTATCTGCGTCTAGTGGTGCTAGCAAACCATGGTTTGTTAACCACGCTGCTGCTCATGGTTAATCAACCATGGTTTGCTATTTGCAGACAAGAGATTGGCAACAGAAGCCCTCCTCCGGGAACCCTCTGTGAAAGATGTTAGGAGACCCATCTATGGAATGTGCTCCCCAGAGAGGGCCGCCTGGTGCCGTCATCATATGTTTTTCGGCACCAGGTTACCTTTTTATTTAATCAATATTTTAATAGGTTTCAATATTGAATTTTAATATTGTATTTGCAGCCAGAGTGGGTCGTTAATTTATGCTGCTAGCCGTCCAGAGATGCTGGTAATTGGACGGCATACAAATTTCATAAATAAATAAATAACCTATGTTTCTCCATCCTTTCAACCACAACCCACATCCAGCCCCTATTCAACCCTTGAGTTGAGGTTACTGAGTTGTCTGAATGCAGCCACTGAGGTATACACCTAGGAACTGGATCCAGACTTAGTTATATTTTGAACAGGCCCTTCAGTGAAGCTCATGTTATTATTTATTATTATAGTATTAATAATACTTATTGTACTGGTTTCAGTAAGTCTACATGAAGGATGATTAAATTTAGATCCAGCCCAATAGGTCAACTGGGCTTTAGAAGGCCCAAGACCAGGTTCTACCTCGACTTGTTGTGTTAAAGCTCCTTGGCTAATGTGTGCCATTCAT